AATGGAAATGGGCTGATCACAAAGCAAGAAGAATTGATGGCAGGTGGACTAAGGGAGTCATAGAATGGATTCCACAAAAGAGACCTAAAACAAGATGGATTTATGACATCAGCAAGTATTGCAGGCCCAACTGCAATCCTAGAGAGGCTCTGGAGACTGGGGACAGCAGAAAACGTCACTTCCTGTCCAACCGGAAGTTGGGAAACGGGCTGTTTTGGGTCTCTGGAAGACCTCCGAGGGAGTGGGGAAGGGTGTTTTCACCTGCCCCAGATGCATAGAGAGGATCTGGAGCCAGGTGAGAAAGAAAAACAGGCGTTCCCCACCTCCCCACGCCCTCTGGAGGCAGGAAATAGCCAGTTTCCCTACTTCTGGTGGGCCCAGGAGGCCCAAAATATCATGCGCGCCAGAACTGAGCTGGTGTGCCCACTGATATGGCTACGCGTGCCACCTGTGGTACCCGTGTAATAGGTTCGCCATCACGGGTCTATAGTAAATATCTTCTTCCGTCTACTAAAAGACAATTTTGCAGATGGATATACTAGATATACCAAATTATGTAATCTGAAAACAAATATAAGGAACATGTGTTCCGTTAGTAAAAATTATTCCCTGTGCTGTCTGAGCTCAAAATTGTAACTAAACTAAAAGCAGAATCATCTGATTAACAAAATATGACATCAGCAATAAAATGTAGTGAAGGTAAGGTCAGTTTTAATAAATTACAGAGTTCCTAACATATTCTAGACTGCTAAAAAAATCTAGAAGAAAACAAAGGAAGGCAAAATGGTTGCATGTTGACAGGTTGCAAATAGCTAAAAAAGACAAAAAAAAGCAAGACAAGCCAAATTAGTCCAACTAAATTCTGAATTCTACAGAAGAGGAAATGGGAAGAAAGGATTATATCAAAATAAATAAGACCTAGAAATGGAGGTTTATAATTAAGGAGACACTAGTTTAGGGTTGTTTTTTTCATAAATTACAAAAATTAAATGATGCAGATTAGATAAGGTATAAAATTGATGAAACAATGAAGAAAAATTGTACATTGATTCCTAAATCAAGAATAGATACGATGGACTGAAAACTCAACTACAGCAAAGAATTAAAGAAAGTGAGGTTAAGTGGACCCAAGAAAATACTGCTAACAAGAAAGTTGCAGTTGATAAAATATAAGATTATACAAGTGCTTTGAAAGCAACAGCCAAGGGATTGGAAAAAATCAATATATATTCTGCTATGTCTCAAAGAAAAGGCAGACATAAAGAATATTCAGATTATCAAACAGCTGCACTTCTCTCACATACTAACAAAATAATGCTCAAGTACTGTTTTATTGATTATAAAAACGTTTCTAACTACGTACACTACAATGAATTGACGATAGGTCTTAATAGCATGAGTACCAGATCAACTCATTTGCCTATTGAAGAATTTTATGGTGACCACAAAGAAACAAACAGAATATTTATCAACACAATAGATCAAAAGAGAAAAAAGAACGTTCCAAAGATTCATACTGTTGATTTGTTTCTTTGGCTTATATGTAGAAATGCATGTACTGTATCTTCATTTCTAGAAAAAATAGAAATTTGAATTAATCTGTGGAACAAAACCTTGGATATGCTAATAAAACCACTCTGAAACCTGGAAGCAAGGAAGAAATCTCTTATTGAAAGTGGGAGGGCAAAATATTTGCATTTTTAAAAACAAATATAAGATTATGTCAATAGGCAATGTCAACACCATGAATAGAAATGCAGTAGAAGTAATAGAAGTCTATATTGTCAACTTCAAAACTCACAGGGATAGTGACCATAGAGATGAAATAAAGAAATGGCTACTATTTGGAAAAAAGACTACAACAGAATTAGACAAATCTTAAAGTACAGAGGTATCACTCTGCCATAAAAGTGTATATTGTCAAGGCCACGGTTTTCCCAGTTGCCAAAGCTGGTTCATCAGAATGGCTGAATAAAGAAAAATCAATTGTTTCAAATTATGGTACTAGAGTAAATGGCTGAGAACACCTTCAGACACAAATCATTAGATATCAGTTGAAGTAAAAGCAAAATACCATCTGGAAGCACTAAAATGAAACAAATGTTTAAATATTTTAGATGCATAAATGTGAAGACAAGTATTACTGCACATCCTGACAGTTGGAAAAATGAAAAGCAACTGAAAAAAAAAAGCTGACAGAAGACTATAAATTATCACTGATGACACAAGCATGAACTTACAAGTAATCAAAAGAACCAGTTACTGACAGACAATCCTGATTAAATGATGTCATAAAAAGTTTGCAGAAATTGAACTAAGAAAAAGAATTATTTTACAGTATTTGAGGTTGGAAAAAACAAATGTCTAATAGCTGTTAATATTTAGGATGAAAGCAAAGAATAGAGTACTTTTATATCACTATTAAATGACATGGAATTATTGTTAATCATGACTTAAATATTTTAAATATTTTCTGTTTTGTCCCATAAAGTCACAGATTTTCTAGCTTTCAATATTTTTTTATCTCTCTTTGCTCATAGCATCTCATATACTCAACATGGCAAATAAAAATTAAAGTGACTGAACACAGAACCTGTCTGAGCTATGCAGTGTAAAGTAAAAAGATGTTGCAAAGCATGTAGGGTTGTGAACATAATAGTTCTCAAGTCCTTAAAATATCCATTATTTTTCTTAGAAATGTGCAGGAAGTGATAACAACCAAAACCAGTTTTTAGGGCCCAGAAGTATGACACAAAGATAGGGTATATGGAAACTAATAGGACAGATAGGGTGATATAGACAGGTGGCAGGATTTTGAGTCAATCTTTTACCATACTGAAGATCAGGGTGGGAGGGACCAAGCCCACAATGGCATGAATTAGGTGGGTTGTTGGCTGGTAAAATTTACTTAATGATGGCAATTAGCATTACTAAGATTGTGGTCTCTAAGCAATGTCATCACATGACATCTTGCTTTATGACTGCATCCCTTAGTGAGCAAAATTTTGGTCCCAATTGTGGTAGTTAAGTTGAAGACTATATGTAATGGCAAGAGTTCATAATTCTTAATACAGCTTGTGTTGCAAACCATGTGACTCTTTGGGCCTGGACTGTTTACAATATTTTTTTCTTTTTTAAAAAAATCAGATATAAAATTGTTTACATTCCAAATCTGAGAAAAAATGTACTTTTAGAGAAAATCAATCCTTTAATTGCTAAATAAATGTTATTCTAAACTGATCCTATAATTTTATGAGCATTTAATCAAGATAACTGTGATTTGCATTGAAATTGGTTAGATACAATTTGTATTATTTAGATAAATCTTAGAATCTAATCCTTATTATAAACTAGGTGGATGTTAATCAAAGTTAGAGATACTGGGTTGAAATACCTGGTTTATGTTTTAGAATTATTGCTAAATTCTCAAATAATTCTTACAAATAAAAATGTTAAATATACTTTAGGTTTTAAAGAAATAATTCAAATGTTACTATTTCAAATAATACACAAATAATAAGACCACAAATGATACAAAAACATTTTGGAATATGTTAACTAAAGTACTACTTTCAGTTTCAGATTTCAATCTTGCTTCTCTTTTCTAAGTTAATAATTAGAATACAATCATTATTTTTGTCAACATCAATTCTTGGAAAGTTCTGGGAAAGATTAATAAATTGGAAACACACCCACCCACACTTGTACATATGTACATATACGTATAAATATACGCACACATATACACACATACATACATACATAGCCAGTTAATAAATGATCTGGTTTATTTAAACCAAAGGGTACAGTGAAAATGATCAGTTTCTTTGTGACTTCTGACCTCTGAACTACAACCTCCTTGCAGCTAAAACATTCAACACCTCATTTAATCTTTTCTCACTAGAGTAGCATAGTACTGAAAAAGGAAAGGAAAAAAAAATAATCTCAGGACTTCATCAATTTTTCATGAATTTTCATTTAGACCAGAGCCTCTCTTGCAGTGGTCAATAGATCAAGCTGCTATCTCAAATTTAACAGCTGGGGCTACAGCTGCTATCTCTGGTGCTACAACCAACTCTGCCTAGATCAGAAGCAATGTCAGGCAGATTAGGACTTGTCTCTAGTCTTTCAAAGCAGAGACCTTATACATGAAATTCAAATTCTGTCTCTATATCTTTTTCAATATATTTTTTATGATCATTTCACTTCTATTTAGCAATTTACAGTTGCATAAAAAGAGATCTAATCATGTTAAGATAACAAAATATTCATAGCCCATTGTTACAGAAGCAAATGCTGTAATTTCTGTAAACTGTTATGGTATTATTTCATTATAGCTAACTATAAATGGACATTAAATACACTTGCAAAAGAAAGTAAGATTATCACAAGGATATTTGATTTATTAATACAAATAGTTTATAGTTATTAAAAAATTGTAATTTATTTGAAGAGCTAAAGTGACATTAAAAGCATAAAAAACATTGTTCATGAAACATTTGCTAAAACAGTAATAATTCCCACTAGCAAAATAGAATAGAATACCAACTGGTATCTTAGCATAAATGGTTAGGCATGACTACATCATTAACGAAGTTGTATCAATGAACAAAACAATAAGCATATTTTCTTTTAAAAGTCCCATAAACTTTACAGATAACACAGTAGTGGGGTCCTCTTACCTTCGCTACTGGTTTGGAACCAGCAGCGCATGCATGCATGTAGCACTTCTGCGCATGCATGTAGTGCTTCTGCGCATGCATGTAGTGCTTCTGCGCATGCATGCGGCGCTTCTGCACATGCACAGAGTGTCTGTCATGACATCTGGGCAGAGCCTCCCGCTGCCACCACTACAGGTTTGCCTGAACCGGGGCGAACCGGTAGAAACCCACCACTGGGATAACATTAATAAAGTTAGGAATGCATAGTGGAAAGTACACATTTCTCCACTATGATTCAAAATATTTCATGATGTCTGGATGTTGTTTAGAATTACTTACATGCTACTTCCAGAGATGCATTACGACTCACAGCTTCCCCCAGATAGTTCCTGGCAACACAAACATAACTTCCTTCATCTGGTTTACTCCTGCGTCCATGTACAATTCTTAGGAAAAATAAAGATCCACTAGGAAGCAACATGCGATGTGAACGGGGGTCATCTTTGTCAGTCTCCACACGCTCTCCATCTTTGTACCACTCAATAATGGGAGTTGGTCTTCCTTCAGCCTTGCAGTTCAAAGTTGTAGGCTCTCCTTTAGAAACAATAACATCAGATGGATGCTCTACTATTCGTGGAGGAAAGTCTTCCTGGCGAAGACGAGATCCTAATGACAAAGAAAAAATAATCAGTAAGCCATTTTTAAAACTCATAATTTTCATAAATGAAATAGTCATAGTCATTCTGTATGTAAGCATGTCCCACAGAATTCACCAAAGATTAATTCTGAATTAATTTATACAACACCAAAGTACCAAAGCCTTGGTACTACAGTGGTTTAAAGCACCCTGTTATTAACACAGCTGCCTGCAATTTACTGCTGGTTCGAATCTCTCCAAGGCTCAAGGTTGACTCAGCCTTCCATCCTTTCTAAGGTAGGTTAAATGAGGACCCAGTTTGTGGGGGCAATAAGCTGACTTTGTATAAATATACAAAAGTATGAAGGCTATTGCTTAACGCACTGTAAGCCGCCCTGAGTCTCCGGAGAAGGGCGGCATATAAATCAAATTAAAAAAAACAAAAAAAAAAACACATGCGAACATTATAGTATCTTCCTCATAAATACTGTATTTATAAAATCATATGCACATTCTTCCATGCAATGCATTTAAGGTTGGTCTATATAAATAAAGTTCAATTTCGCATTGAAAATCAGATTATTTTTTCACCCATTACTAATTTGAATTTTTACATTTGTGGGACTATTCATTTCCTATGAAAGTGAGAAGTTGTAGAATGAATTCAACAGACATTTGGGAGACTAGAAATAATTGCTCTTTTAATAAAGATGACGATAGTATGTGAAAAAAATAGAGTTATATAAACATTGATTACTATATACCCTTCTTCCCTTAAAACGACTAATCATAAAGCAGATCCTTGTACAGAAATAGGTCTACTTTACTCTTTTGAAACTTTATTAGAAATCATTGGCATTAAAACATTTTAGAATTTTTTTAAAAATCTTGGATACCAATAGTATCCTTACTAGTTAGTAATCCCTACCTAGTATATATATGCCTTGCTTAAACTATTTTCTGTTTGTACTGAAGCAACTTCATAGGAGTCTCTCCAGTACAATGGTACCTCAGTACTCATCATTAATTGGTTCTGGGAAGTGTGATGTGTACCAAAAATGATGAGTACCATTTTTTTTCCAATAAAGAATAATGTAGTGAGTCACAAGGCAGCCAACATCTACAAGTTGTAGCTTGTGTGTTGAGTACCAAATAAACGATGAGTACAAAATTTTCACATCAAAATGTGTTGAGCACCAAACTGGATTAATTTCAAAGCAGTTGAGTACTGAAGTATCACTTTATAATACAATTACCTGAAAACCAATGTGTTTGTAAACATCTCTTGTGTGTGGCCATGTGTCATTCAGAGTGGAGATCAGCAGTGTGTTTGCTAGCTTATATCTACTGTGTTTTCCCAAAAATAAGACAGGGTCATATTTTCTTTTGAAACCCCCCCCACCCCAAATAAGGGATTGGCCTTATTAACGGGCGGTCTTATTATTTTTGGAGTGGAGGCGACGAGCATGGGACTGGATGTCCTGTCACTGCCAACACCTCATCTCTCTGTTCTTCGCGCTGGCTGAGCAGCCCAACACGTCCCACCCCACCCCAATAGCAACAGCTGCTTCCCTTCCCTGCCATCTCTTTATCAAGAGGGGTGGCAGGTGGGGCAGGGGAGAAGCAAGACACGTGGAGCAAGACCTGGCTCCCCTTGCCATCTCTTCTCCCCCCTCGCTGGACATGACAGGGCTCCTGCCCCTCGCTTAGCCATCTGCCCCCTTTAGGGATGCACTTTGGGGGTGGCAGGTAGGGCGGGTGAGAAGCGGAATGCACATCTTACCTTTCCAGCTCTGTTATGTTCCTCACCATTGTGTCCAGGGAAACACACTGTAAAAGAAAACTTTCTCGCGAGTTCAATCAAACTTCTTGAACTCGTAAGGTTTTCTTTTACAGCGGGTTTCCCTGGACACAACGGTGAGGAAAGCAACGGTGAGGAAAGCAATGGAGATTGAAAGGTAAGACCTGCGTCCCGCTTCTTGCCTGATCCACCTGCCACCCCCAAATTGCATCCCTAAAGGGGGTGGGTGGCTAAGCAAGGGGAAGGAGCCCTGCCATGCCTAGCGAGGGGGGGAGAAGAGAGGGCAAGAGGAGCCACTTCTCGCTCCACGCATCTTGCTTCTCCCAGCCCCATCTGCCACCTCTCTAAATAAAGAGACAGCGGGGAAGGGAAGCAGCCAGGCTGCTGTTGCCATTGGGGTGGGGTGGGACATGTTGGGCCACTTGGCCGGTGCAAAGAACAGGGAGGGGAGGGCATGAACCCCCCTTCCTCCCCGGCCTTTTGGTTGCACGGCAACCAGAGGAAATGGCGGGACCGACTGCCCATGCGTGTAAGTAGTTGGTGGGGGGGATTATTTTGCAGGGGTGGACAATATCATCGCATGCGCTGAAAAGCCTGATTGGGCTTATTATCCAGACATGTCTTATTTTCGGGAAAACACGATACCATCTAATAAAGGGGGGGAATATACAATTCCTCCATTTAACACCCTTCTTTGAAGAGAGATAAGCACATTAATGTAGTGTTTTAGATAATTTTAAAATTGGGATTACTTCCCTTACAAGCTAAGGTCAAAAATACATATTGCTATCTTGTAAGGCAATGGTAAATTTAGAAATATATAAATGGATATCAGTGTAATGCAACATAGACATATGAAATTTCTATGTTTGTAGAAATTTGTAGCAAGAAGCATGTTTTCCATTAATATTTTAAATATTAATTTAAAGCCTATAGTTACTGGCTTACTTGGGAATAACATAATTTATTGTAAAGTGTATTTAGATTTAGATAAACATTTTGCTATCAACCAACTGTCCATCCACATTCATAGTTGAAAAGAAAAAAAAATTATAAGCCTTACTGCACTTGTGTGGATTTTTAAAAAAAACATCACATATTTGCTGCATAAGGAACTTTACAAATAAATGAAAGTAAAAAAAAACACCTTTTTACTAAAAAAAATAAAATTGAAATAATGTTTAAACATTTTTTATAAACTTGTAACTTCTGCCCTTGTCATCTCATAGCTTGATTATGCAATGTGAACTATATGCATCCAAAAACTTCAAACTCCAGAATGCAAGTGATATGAGCAGTGACAGCTTGCCTTAGTGTGCTCCATGTCACCTCTGTTTTCTAAGCTGCACCGGTTGCAAATGCGCTTCACAGTACAATTCAAGTTACTGTTTATTAAAGCTCTACCTGGTAAAAGATTTGGTTATTTGAGGGACTGGCTGTGTTTTACAATTCCTGCCCACTAGGGCAGGATTAAAAAACATAATATTTTGGGACTCAGGAAATTTGTCTTCTTTCAATGCTACCTGCTCTTTGAAATAAGGTGCCCCTGAAATCTTATGGGTCCCACCCTAATAAGCAGTTTGAAACACCTTGAATAATAGTCCTGATTGGGTGAATGGATCACCCTTGTTTGTGATGTTATATATTTTGATTATTGTCTGGATTGGTGGCTGGTAATTATTTTGTTTTTTCTCATGAATATGTCCTTTATTGAACTTATTATTTATTAATAAGTTCAATAAAGAACTGTATATATACATATACATACATACATACATATAGACACACATATATATATACTCACACATTTTAATATATTCATTTTAGTCCACTAATATATTAATATATATTATAATTATAAAATAATTATTATTTAATAATAATAATAACATTATTCTTTAACTCCTTCATGGATTACTGCCTTGTCGTGGCAAAGGGGCTTGAGTAGCTCAATGAAGCTATGAGCTATACCACACAGGGTCACCGAAAATGGACAGGTCATAGCAGAGAGCTCTGACAAAACGTGTTCCACTGGAGAAGGAAATGGCAGTATCCACTCCAGTATCTTTGCCATGGAAACCCCAGGGACAGTACCAAAAGACAAAAAGATATGACGCTGGAAGATGAGCCCCTCAGATCCGAAGGTTTCCAATATGCTCTGGGGAAGAGCAGAGGGCTAGTGCTAGTAGCGCCAGAATGAAGTCACTGGGTCAAAGCTGAAAGGACACTCAGCTGTGGATGTATCTGGTGGTGAAAGGAAAGTCCAATGCTGTAAAAATCTATACTCCATAGGAACCTGGAATGCAAGTCCATGAATCAAGGCAAGCTGGATATGGTCAAAAACAAGAAATGACAAGACTGAACATCGACATTTTAGGAATCAGTGAACTAAAATGGACAGGAATGGATGAATTTAATTCAGAAGACCATCAGGTATACTACTGCGGGCAGCAAACCCTCAGAAGAAATGGAGTAGCCTTCATAGTCAATAAAAGAGTAGGAAAATCTGGGATACAATCCCCAAAATGATAGAATAATCTCAGTTCGAATCCAAGGCAAACCATTCAACATCACAGTAATCCAAGTCTATGCCCCAACCATTGGTGCTGAAGAGGATGAAGTTGACTGGTTCTATGATGCCCTACAACACTGTTAGGATATGGTTTGAGCCTAACAGTTGTCCAGGCAATATAAGTGTACTGTAACTTTAATCTGTAAATGTATTAGGTGACTTTAATGCTGAGACATGCTGTAATTAGGTAATGACTGGTTGTGAGAGTATTTAAGCAAGGTATTGTAACATGTTCAGTTGCTGCTATGATATGCTGCCATTTGATGATGAAGCTGCTATGATAAGCTACCATTGAGAGGAGTTATCTGCTAATCATCGTTGGATGGATCTGCAACCATCATGGTTTGTGAACCAGAGTGAGTTTGTTATTCTAACCAACTACTGTTGAGTAAGAAGATTCTGTAACTACTGGACTGATTTACTGGCAAAGACTTGGAATTTGTTTAAAGACTATGAGACTGTTTATCTACTATAAAGTAAGCTTTTGATAAACCAGTTTGCATAACTCTTATTCATTGCTCTCAGCAACGGTTCCTTGTGCAAACACTCTGCTGGTTGGTAACACAACAACAATATCCTTAACATTGGTTATGGGCCCAGAGACAACCAGAACTAACTAGGATTGTTAATAGCTAAACTGAGAGTTAATGTGAATA